TCAACATTGAAACACCTCAACATTGAAACACCTCAACATTGAAACACAAATATATGTTTATAGATTGTTTACTGCTGTCGTTGTAATGATAACTTCGAAATGGCTATTATTAAGACAGTACCAGTTCAAATTATAACAGTTATTGCATTGGGATCTGATGTTATTAGTTTTTATCGCATCATATTCGAATGATTAGCGAATAGTCGTGTACACGACACGACACCTGTAAAACTCGCCTGTGTAGAGAACCTTAGTAACAGCGCTAGCTGATAATCAATCCAATCTTACAAACATTCGCTATCTTCGTCCAGCCGTTCTTCGTCCATCTGTCACATCCTCCGAGGAGAGCGGAATGAATCTGTTATGAGAAAAAGAAGAAGAAAAGATCACGAAATCACTATCGATTTGATCGTTTGCATGTTGCCCGATATCTCTCCAAATCATCGTCCACACAGCAAAACTCACCCAACATCAGTGATGGCATTCGACCGACGGTCGGTCGGAAAAATCCGACAATTTTGGTCGGAGTTCCGAATGTTCAAAATATCAGTTCGGCCGGATTTCGATCGAACCGTTCCGACAGTCGGTCGGAATTGCGATTGCCGGAATGATGAAAAGTCAGATAGGTCGCATTCCGACTGATATGAAATTCCACTCGGATGCCACCACTATTAATTATTGTTTATTCACAACAAAAATTAGTATACCAATGATAAGGGAGATAGCGATACGAAGAAAGCCAAATTGAAGCTTCTGAATGATTCGAAAAACACCACGAAGAGTGTCGCGAAACAATATCGCATTACAGATCAACATTGCTCCATTCTTTGCCTACGATATGAAGGATAGTCGAAGTCAGATCAGTTTCGATAGTAATTCAATGAGCAGCTACTCGATCGACTATAAACTTCAATCGTTCAGTATCAGAAAACGTTTGAACTTGAAAATTTCAAATTCAGTGAGTCTTTATCATCATTACTGCAGCCTCAAGCAGTGTCGTCAACTGAAAAAAAAAAGCTTAACATCATAGTGTTTGTGTGCCATTCGAAAGATTTTCTTTGCTTGGTTCGTGAGAATGCGACTGGTTTTATTGAATGTGTTCGAACAACAAACTAGCTAAGAATCAGTAGTCATGGAAAAACAGATATAGTTTTATATCTGAATCTTATTGCATCCCTTATCATGGGCATTGACCAATAAAAGGGCAAAAGCATGGTGGCGAAGCGATAATGGCGCAAAAAAAACGAAATTTTTTTCACAAAAAGTTTTTGAGAGCACGAGCCACTGGGTAGTAGCGCGGTGAATTCCAACAGGGACATTTGCAGGAGATCAGGTGAGTTCACCGATGAGCAATCGGTGAGCAAACTTATCAGCGTGTTATAAATGCGACCATCTGCTATTATTACTATTATTGCTTTAAGTTATATTATCGAATATGAAAGCGAACATTCGGATTGATCGATTCCGACTGCTATTACCTCTGTGCTTGCCAAATCAATAATTCATGTTCGGATTTCATGAAGACAGATGATTCCAAACGCTATTATCGTTAGCTGCGCGGAAAGAAGAATGCCAAGGAAGGAAGAATGTGATATTAGTGATATTGGTAATAACAGAGAGGCATAAACTCGTAATGAGTTTGATTTGCTGATTAAATAAATAAATAAATAAATAAAAATGAAAGCGAACGTTCATCAATCTTAATGCATTCCTTATCACGGGTACAGACCAATAAGTAGAGCAAAAGTTTTGTTTGAGCCAGAGGCCATAAACAACTGTAAGTGAATCGTGACCGATGAGCCCTATGAACTCTGGAATTTCTCGTAAAACTGTTTCTGTCTCGTCGAAATGTTATGGCATAGACGGGCATTTACGATGCGTCCTTCCAGAATCGAAATCTAGGTGACACGCCAGCTTTTCAGGTTAACAACGGTCTTTCGTTTCAGTGTGATCGTTCACGGTTACATTTTCATTTTATGGGTGTGTATTCTGTTCATGAAATTTATTCGAGAATCATCTCAGTGTTTGTATTCCTGGATTAGCCAGGCTATCAAACGCTTCTAACGTTGCTGGCCACAATGCGTTTCCATTCGGTCCTTGACCTCGCCTTTCTTTGCCAGGTGTTATCCAGTTCTTTCGTAATATCGTCTTGTCATCTTATTAGAGGTCTCCCGAGAGGTCTTTTTATACCCATTGTTTATATAGAGATAGTAGTGATAATAACAGTGTTTATATGATGAATTGAAAAGTAAAAAGAATGGGTTGAATTGTAGACAGTGTTGGGTAGCACATATGCAAATAATTGTATAGAGTGAATGATGGAGAGATGTTATACAGTTACTCAATACAGAATACGCATTTAACTGATAATAGAGATGTTGATTACGTAAGTATCAGAGTATTATCAGGCATTGTACACGTATTAGATTTGAATGATCAAATCAATTCTGACAAGACAGTCAGTTGGAATTCCCATATCGGAAATCCAGAATGTTAATTCGGTTCCTCATCGGATTCTCATCGAACAGTTCCGACAGTCGGTCGGAATTCCGACTGTCGAGATAATGGAATTTCAAGTGGATCGGATTTCGACCGACATGAAATTCCGCTCGGATGCTATCACTACCTAGCACCTTCAAAACTCACCCGGAGCTGTAAAACTTACCTGCATAGTGCAATTCGGTGATCTCTGAAAAAAGTTCTCCAAGATTTTCAAACTAAGAACGGAATCTGATAGAGCTTTTCATGCGATTCAAAACGTGCATCTTCGACTTGCCCAACAAGATTTCCATCATACCGTAATCACGCCTCATATGTTCAACTGTCATCGTATCTGATGTTAACCCACCAATCCCCAAACATCTTTCACAGCCTTACCATAATCCGCCACTGTAATGACCTCTCGCAAGCTCTTATATATGATATTCTTTTTTTGTGAGATCCAATTTATATAATATGAGAAATGTTTATAGTTCCAAGATAACACTTCGAAATTTCATTGAACAATCAATCAAACAGGAATATCGACCTAATTTGAGTGCAAAAAAGCAACGAAAATGATGTTCACCATTGATTATGAATATAAACGAGAATACGTGTTGTAGCGGTAGCATACGATGGAATATGCGTTGAAATACGTTACAGAATAAATTTAACATTACACAATTACACATTACACAATTAAATCACCGTTGAACATTAAAAGAGGAAACGTTGAATTAGCTGAATAATATTACATTGCAAACGTCGGATTCAGTCACACAAAAGAATGTGATGCTGCATCATATACGATAAACTGAAATGAAAATTTACGAAGAAATCAAAGAGAACAAAATTTACTCGTTGGAAAATGAAAATTCGAATAATTCGAGTGAAAAATATTACCCTTATTCGCACTGTATAGAAATTGTTAAAATGTTAATAAAAAGGCCATAATAAGAGCTACATGTCTAGTCATGATGTGTCGTATAAATGCGAATATATACCCCACCTCAATTCTACGTCTTCCCCTTTATTGGCCTTCAAGTTGCACACGTCTATTCGATATTATACGATACATATTATCAAGACAGAGAGAGATGGATGAATGATGAACAGAGCGATACACAAATGTAGGCTGATCTATAAAATTAACACTGGTCCTCGAAAGTTTTCAGTTAATTATGAGTTAGTTCGTTGCAGTTTACTGAAATGAGGAAAACGGAAAAATCGAATGAAATAAAAAGCAACAAACTCAATTACTATTACTATAATTGTAACGTGGAAAACGCTGATTCGTACCAGTATTAGTAATAATTATTACAATAATATTAACAAATATGGATAACAACAAAACACCTTCACAATCAGTAAAGAAAATGTCATAATCACATCAATAACAATAAAAAAACCAAAAAAATTTAAAAAGAACAACTACAAAAACCATACACGAAAATCCGCTGAAAAGAAAGAATCGAATACAGAAGGGAAATGTATATCGGAATAATAATAATAATAACAATAATAATAGTAATAATTATTATTATAATAGCAACAATCAAAAGCAAATTAATAGTTATTCGGAATGCAACTGATCTGTCGACTCAATTCAATCGAGCGATTTAAGAAGTGTACGATTCATATTCGTCTCATCATCATCGTATCGCTCACTGCACCGATCCAAACAGAAACTGTTACAAAACATATCGCTTAAACAATGCATACAGAACAACCACCATTATAATCATGCTGAAAAGGCTTACAAACACAAACTGCTGTGCGAATAATAAAGACATTACCTTCAGACACTAACAGCAACAACGGATTGACAATATTAAGGATTGAATGATATGTTGGTGATGAGCGATTGTGTTGTTGGCGAAGAGGCAATGGAAGATTGTACGACGAGTGCCGGACTGAAACTGAATGCTGTTGCGTGTGCCGGTGGTGTTGCAGTCTGCTGAACAGGCAATGCTGGTATCCAAGCAGCTGTAGCTGCAGCCCCACCACTACCAGCAGCACTCATCAACTGCTGCATTAACAACAAATTTTGTGGTAGTAACGATATACCATTACCATTATCGTTCAACGTTGCCGACGTTTGCGTAAGTGCTGTCGGCAAAAAGGCTGCCAATAATGAAAGCGAGTTGCCAGCCGCTTCAGAAGATTCGAATGTTGCTTGTGGGTTAGTGGTGGATGGATGAGACGTACTCGAGACCATAGATAGAGGCGAAAGTTGTGGTGGAATGGGTGGATTCGAGTTGCTAATTTGAGGAAGATTAAGACTGAGATTCGTCGCCGAAACTGTTGATGGAGAAGAGCATGAGGAAGTTGAAGACGATAGACCAAGCAAGTGAGATATCTGAAGTGCGGTCAACGGTGTGCCCGTCAAGTGCATATGCAAATCTACGTAACTTTGAATGGCAGAAAACAGTTGTTCATTCTGCTGCATAAACTGTTGTTGTTGACGTTGCTGTGTGGCAAGCAAAAATGCATAGAGATCTGAGAAGGCTGAACAATTTCGATTCAGTTCACAACTAGTCGTGTTTGTCGTAGGGAATTGAACACGAGACGCAGCAGTTGCTTCATCATTAGCAGCTGCTGAAGCTAATGCTGTTGTTCGTTCAATACATCCAGAATGAGTGCTTGAAGCAATTGAAGCTGAAAATGCACCGCCATGTGCGGCAGCTGCACTCGTTACTGATTCAAATGGTGAAGAAGTTTTCTGGACGTTTCCGTGGAATAGAGTTCCTGAAGTATTTGTATTGAATGCAGCTGGTGGCGTCTTATTGACAAACATGGCATTAGAAACGGTTGCATTTGCACATTTAGATGTGGAAGAGGGATTTGAAGGGATGTCTGCTGTTGACATTATTCCAGAGACGGTCTTCCTTGACACATCGTCCACAGCTGATGGTGTCGCGACGAAACGGTCATCTAAAAGCATATATGAGAGTACCGAACAATTTATCAAAGAACCATGACATGACCAAGTGGCAGTGATGACTAAACTCGCCAGCTAAAAACAATATTTCTTAGCTCCCTCAAAAAATATCCTAACAACATTCACTAGAATTTTTAACCAGCACGATAATTTTTTCCCTGGATGCAGGTTGCTCTAGAGCAGGAGCCGGAGCTCAGAAGAGCAGATTTCGCAGACAGGACGGAACTGGGGACGAAATTTTTAAAACTGCGGAGCCGAAGCTACAGCTGGAGCCGAAAACTGAGGTGCAGTAGACTACAGTTCTGAAAATTAGCAAAACTTATGGTGAGAAAGGATCCATATCACATGGATTGGTGTTACGTATAAGAGTGATGCAAGCATTACTAGTACTTTGTTAGGGGCATAGGCGAAGTGACGATAAGTGAGATGTTGTATCGCTTCACCGAACATTATTTCATGCTCACATCCAAGTGGAAATGCACGCATCTGTGCGCACTTCACCGCACAAATACTTCGTTTACTTTTCAATCCGTAAGCATTTTATAGTTAGTATCACTTATGCGACTGATAAAGTGAATCATCTATACCAACGCTGATATCGTCAACACTATTATTATCGCCATTATTTTGGCCATTATTACTCTCGTTTTTTTTATTCTTTGGAATATTTTCGTTGTGAGCTTTTTTTGTTTCGTATTGAAACGTTCTTCATCGTTGTTTGTTCAGCTGAGCGTTACGCATAATAAGCTTCACGCATAATAAATATTGGGGCTGGAGCGAGAGCCGAAAAAAAAGCGAACTACTGCTAAAAATCAGAAAATTTGGTTTCGGAGCTGGGATCTGAGCCGAACTTCTAGAAGAATTCGGAAATGAAGCTAAAGCAAATTCAAGTGAAAGCTGAAGATCAAAATTGACTTTTCAAAAAACTAAAATGGAAGAAAAAAATCTCACTATCAAAAAATGATCAAAAGAGAAGTTGAACGAAATTTTTTTAATTCTTTTTTCAAAAACCAATAATGTGATCTTAAAATACGTACAACGAAATGTGATGGGAGATACATGGTACAAAATAACGTCAGGGATAAAGATATACACATACGAATGAAGATCGATAACTGTCAATGCACCAGGTGGAGAAATTAGTTTTCCTATACTGAATGGGAAAAGCGCAATGTGATCTAAGCAATCCCTTCTTGGCTCTACGGTTGGCGAGTCATCGTATGCCTTTCAACGAAACATTGCTTGACGGCTATTATTAACAAGGCACTTTGCAAATGCGCAATAAATAACAAAAACAGATTTTGATTATCACCAATGAATCATTCCGATCGTCGTTTTCAAATGTTTTGAACTTGAATCTAACAGGAAGAAGATTTTTTTCGACGGCTAAATTGGCGCCTCAAATAGCAGATAAATTTTTCAGTACCATCAATAAATTTTGAATTTTCCGATACTATCGATAATTTTCATATTTTTATTGATAAATAAATTCCGAAATTTTCCGAGCTGTTAAATTTTTGTGTCAAAGTTTCAAATATTAGCAAATGTACGAGTTACGATGTGTTATCTGCTTGAAAGTAAATGAATGAATAACGAGTATAAAACGCAACGATATATGAGATATTTACGAACGATAAGACCAAACGAGAGTGATAAAATATCCATGTGATAAGATCAGACAAAGTGAGTATGTAGGAAGTTTGACGCTACCTGCTGATGAAGCAGTAACACCGATGTTACTCTTTTCAGTCACTGCCTCCTCCAGCTGCCGATTGTTTTCTATATCATCATCCATCCGAATATCCTAAACAAATACCAATCTTTTGGAAAGTCATTATTTGAAATGAACACACAGAGTGATAAAAGTTTTACATCTGTAAACTACCCACAAAAAATAGGTCATTATGTTAACAGATCTTTTCAGCGGCGCGTTTTCTATCTTTTAAAGCAAGTCAGATAATTCTACCACAAATTACTGTCATGTAAATTATTTTCATAAGCTAAATTTGTGATAAATGATCTTTTTAAAGCATTGTATTCCATATCGGTTCTCTGCAACTTGTTGCTATTCATTATAAACAACTGAATGCTTGTTAAAACATAAGAATATAAGAGGGCAACAATGCACAGGTAAACAGCATGAACCTTGGCTTCGATCGGTTCTCCTGAACGCAGCACCTTCTTCATATCGTCATCACTGCTATCATCTTTATTATCACTTACAGGGTTCGTGCTTGCATCACTACTGCTGATAGCATTATCATTTACGAGCAATAATGACGCGATAGAATTACATGATGACGATGATGTCAAGTAACGTTTTTTAGCACGTTTTTGTTGATGCTGCTCACCGATACGATGCTTCATCTTATTACTATAGTCCGAGAGTGATGAACAAAATTCACGAGTACCACTGCTTTTCACCGATTCGTCAACACCATATTTACGTGATACAACTGGAAGAGCGTTCGTTGAATCACTTCCACGGCTAACAGCAGCCAGTTTTATAGTCATATTATTATCATTATTAGCACAACCAGAATTATTGTTCATATCATTACTATTACTAACGAATCTATATTTATCACCAGTGCTGATATTATGCTGAATGGCAGATGATGAGGAGGAGGTGGGCATTGCTGTTATCACATTAATAGCGTTATTCGAAGACGGAGAATGAGTTGATATTGGATGTGGATTATTATCATTATTGGTATTACTGATAGCTGCAGTAGTATCAATATACAGTAGTTGATCAGTTGCAGTTGAGGGTGATGTAGATTTGAGACGATTTAACTCGAATAAATGACGGTATTTATGAGCACATAACGGTTGTTGAACGCTTGTATTATGATAAATTGAAATAGTGGATGATGCAGCAGATGATGCTGAGGCCGATACCGATAAGGATGGCGATTTCTGCTTTGATTCAAAAACTGATATCGAACTGTTGTTACTGCTGCTGCTGCTTATTGCTGTTGTTGCCGGTGATGATAAAACACCGTCATTATCACTAATAGAAGTATTGTTTTTAATCGAATTACTATCAGTATTGTTAGTAGTAGTGGTCGTCGTAGTATCAGTAATATTATCAGTTAAGAGATTATTGTTGTTGTTGACCGAATTTGCAGACAAGAATAAACTGTGATTTGAAGTTGTGGTTGTAGTTGGTTTATTAGAATATGAAACGTTCAATTGGTGAGTGTTATTGATTGAAGAAGCAGAACTAGATGAAGGGGTATTCATATGAATGTGTTTCGACGATGAGGATAATGGGGATGAAAGCATTCTTAGATCACGCTTCAATTCCTCCAAATGTATACCAGTCGAACCACCACCATGTAGCAGCTCACGTACTGGTGTCGTACTTAAACTTTTTGTACCACCGCGTTGATACGGATGTAAATGTTGCCAAGTGCTTCGATAACCCAAACTCTGAAATCACACACAAACCATTCTCGTTTGTAAACAATATTCTTTCTTTTAATATAATCAACCAGATGAATTCCACAGAAACTTATTATAACCTAGTACATATTCATATAAAAAACATGCTTCTTCTTGAAACACAGTCAACACCTACACAACTAAGTAAACGTTCAAATTCAATTCATCTTCCAATCATATAACAACAACAACAACACTAGTAAGAACAATCTTCATACAACGCCATACTAACATAACTACGCAAATATCATAGTACTACAACAAATGTGATGAATCACTAAATTAATAAGTAGACAAATAGGTAAATAAACAAATAAATAAATAAACATAAAAATCCGAAATGCATTCAGCAATGCACCGCCGAAGAGTCCACGGTTTGTTTGCCATATCGTTATCACTATCGGTCTCGTTATCATATTAAATAACGAACTTGTTTTAAAAATTCAGTTACTTTTAACAGAACGACTTAAACAAACACATAAATCAACCAACCAATCGATCAATAATTTCAAGAACGTGTCATCGCTCCTTTTCAAAGCACATATCAACATATTATCATATCAAGTACTTTATATATATAT